CTAAAACCGCGGCATCGCAATTTCAAACTGAATTTTCGTTCGAGCTCGATATACCGTTGTTTTTTTTTTTTTTTTTAAAGAAAGACAAAGAACTGTCATTTATTATGCAATTTATTATGAAGATCAAAGTGCATGAAGTAAATACGGCGAGTTAAAACCGCGCCGGTTTGAAATCGGATTCCCGTCACACCGCCGTGAATTTTCTCTAGCACAAGGCATAAGAGATACACAAACCCGATTCGTCTCTCGTACGTCTATTCTTACGTTCATAAGGTTATTTACACTCGGTGTCTGACACCATTTCGGTGGCTCGAGCCGCGGCACCCGGAGCCAAGCTCGACTATTTGTCCGCGTTCAAAGTGCGTCTAGCGAGACCCTCGAGTTCCGTTGAAAAGCGCGCTCCGTATCTCACGAGAAGCACGAGAGGAAATCCGAGCAAAATAGAGTAGCCAATTGTTTGAAGTTTGAGAGCATACGAGATCCGAGATAAGTTCCCGCATTGTGAGCTATGATTCCTGTGCATCATCTCAGATTTCCATCACTCGACTGTTTTGAAAATTTTATTTCAGTCGTTTGTATCTAGAACTTTATTTAAAATATATCATTTTGATCAATAAATAAATTTTGTACGGATGTATGTACATTTTATATAAAAAAATTTATAAAGAGAGATTTGTAACATACACATTAATAGCTTTAAAAAATGTGTTTATAATGTATATAATCCATAAAAAGAAAAAACACCGTATTTTGATCATAAATGCAAGAACATTCAGAAAAGTCTCGGAGCTGACAACATCAAAACACAAGAAATAATAAAAATAGATCTTACTCTAAAGTTTCGTCTTGTAGTAAAATATATCGTCTTATAGTAAAATATATAGTAAAATACTTTCTTCAATTTCGTAATTTGCTAAACTTTTTCTGCACCAAATATATAAAAATTTCTGATTATGTAAAATATATAAAAATGATTAATCAATTGATTCTGTTGTTGATGTTTAACCAATTGGTTCTATTTCAATTTCTACCTCAATAATTTTAACTTTCAAATAGTAACATAATTTAACAGTCTTTATACTATTCACGGTAACAATCTCTTTATCTATTTAAATACTTATATGTTACATTCGATTTTAGAAACAAACCTGTTTAAGGACAAATATACATATATAAAGTTAATATAGAAACTGCACAAATACATTAAATTATAAAAATAAAAACATTAGATCAGTATAACATTACAAATTCAAATATAAACTTATAGTAACAATCGTTATTAAATCGCCCTGCCATAAATATATCTTTTCTAATCAGTATATTAGCTGAGATACTAATGTAAATATTATATTTTGACTCACTGTATAATATTTAAATTTTCAAGAAATATTTTAGCATAGATACGTGTCCCATTCTATACTCGCTATGACTTATAGCCGCGTCCACGGGATGCAAACTTACCCAGTTCTGGAAAGCACAAAAAAATGCGTGCTGGCATTTGTTCGATACCGCGCGTCAGCGCGACGATAAGGCACGATAAGCACTCGTAGATTACGTGAACCGCACGACGCGACAGGCTGAAAGAAACTGGACGGTGGTCTCAACCCCACCACGAGCCGGCACTCGGCCGACGAATGTAAACATTCGCGACAGCTGATCACCGAAGTACACGCTCAGATTCTAGTCCCGATAGTGGCGGTAGCGACTTGCTATTATACGAGTACATACGTAGAATATTATAGACAGGTACTACTCGAGAGGTACTATTTCGACTCGACGCTCTCACTGTGCCAACTAAATACTTGCGATAAACACATTTCATTGTGTTACCTAAAAACATTCAAGAAAGATTTAACGAGATATATTTGAGTTTTATACTTCTTACATCATGTACTATCTGCATACAAAGATCTATTAAAATAATACAAATCGTATGCAATGTAAAAAATATGTTATGATTGTCTAGACAACATAAAACTCTAAAATATCTGTAAAAAAACTTTTAAATTTTTACGATATTTTTTAGACTTTTTTATTGCCTAAACAAATATTATCTTTCATTATAAGTTAAATTAGCACCATATACTAATAGTAAAAATCAGAAAGCTAATGATACATTTTATGGAAAATAAACGCATAAATGAAAGTAAACATTTTTTAATCAAATCTCTATACAAAAATTTAGTTTAGAATTTAAAATTATATATTATTTTAATTTTGTGTGTGTTAAAACATTACGTATCGATTAACTTTCTGTGTAGTAATCGAATCAACCATGACGAATTCGACTCTTATTCCGAATTTTATAAATTTCAATTTATAAAAATAATTGATTAAAAAATTAACAGTTTCGGATAAAAAAAAATTTTGAATAAAAATTAAAAGCTTTAAATAAAAAATTGTTTAGCATAAAACTATAACTTGTTTCGGAATAATTAATTCGGATAAATTAATACAACCGTACATATGTATTAATGTCATGTAACTTTATCATAGATCTGACTTTGTACGCGCAAACGAAATAGGAACTTAACATTATAAAATTTTGTGAACTTTTTAACTATAATATAATAATATCATCCAAGACTGCATTCGGAAACATCACCCGAGTACTCCCGTGTATCGTCTTATCCTTGTTGTTCACCTATGTTAAACGAGGATAAGACGATACACTGAAGCACTCGGATGTTGTTTCCGAACGCAGCCCAAATTGGAATGTGTACATAATATGCTGCAAGGTTATTTCATTGTATCTCGCAACAATTATGACTCAAACATATTATAAACCTATGTTTAAAAATTAATGCCTGATAGCATTTACTTTCCAGCAACTTACATGATACCGTGTAACACAGTGTATGATTCTGTCCAATTGTGAGACAAGCTAACATAATCATATACAACTAAAGTATTGTGTTCGATTATATGTTGCTATATCATTTCACAAATACGAAATTTTTACATTTTCAAATACAAAAGAATGAAACAAGTAATGAGAATTTTTTGCACAGTTGTCAATACAAACTAAATTACAAATTTAATGTATATTAATTAAATGTAGTTACAAACGTTTCGGTTTTACTTTAAGCCATCTTCAGTATGTCCAAAATAAAATATTAATATTTCTTTATGGCATTTTTTACATTATTTTTTTCTCTAGAAATACCTCAATAAGAGGTTTCAAGATTATATTCGGCGATATTCATAATACATATATACATAAAGTATGCGAGACCTTTATTTTACTCTGACAGAAAAATAAAAAAGTTAATCGTTTCAACTTAAATAAGACGACATTAGGTACTTTCTAGCAAAGGATAGTGTAATGCAGTGAATCATTACACCTTTATTGTTTGCCAATATTAAACAAAAATGAAATGATCACTGTTACACTATCTTGCTGAAAACCATCAACTGTGTATTACCGTGTGTCACACAGTGTATGACTATGTTCCATTGTCAAAAAACACTCATGATATATAATATTATAAAAGTTGTAAAAAAATTCGTAAATTTCTAGCGAATATAATAAATACAATATCTTTCATAATATGATATTGTAAATGTTTGACTAATCAGTTTTTATGCTAAATGACAACTCTCTTTCTGAACAAAACTCGTGTATATAGTAAGTAATAATGATTCAACTCATTATTATCACACATTGTTATAATATAAGTAGAAATTCCATAACGGTAGCAATGCTAATAGAAAATTAGGGTGCTTTCCAGCAGTGGAACATACACTATAAGATACAATAAATACAGTGTCAATTTGTAGTTGAAATATTTCTTAACTTTCTTATTTCACTGCTACAGTGAAGTAAAGAGAAAAATTTCATACATCTATGCTCGAATGTATCCAAATAATAGAACGTAAAAATTTTGGTATTCGTAAAGTAATACTGTACTTCAACTGTTCACATCGTATATAATTGGAAAGCACCGAATTAAATAGATTACTAGAGATTGGCGATTTACTAGAGATGGGCGATACAGAACAAATCTCAATATTTCATACTACAACATGAGCAAAAATATTGATACACCACAATATTGGATGATTTATTTACATCAATATATTGCTGATATTGATGTAATATTTCTATTTTTAGATAATGCGTATCAATGTTAAAAAAAATCAATATTTATTTTTACAAAAATAATTGAAGTACTCAGCTACTTCATTATTATTTTCACAAAAAATGATTGTAATATACACTGTGTTACAACGTGTACGTTCCTAGAAAGCACTTTTATTAAAACTGAATTTTAAAATAAAATTGTCAATTGCATCCAGTTTACTACTGTCATTCAGATAAAATATTTTAAGTACTTTCCCACACAGCATGTAATATTGCAGTAATATTGCAATGAGATTACAATATTGTAGTAATATTGCAAATCACAATGCAATATTATATAATACTACAGAGATATTACATTGCGATATATCACAATGTAATATTGCAGTAATTTTGTTGAGATATTACAAGGTAATATATTATTCTGCAATATCACTTACAATATCATTCTGCAATATGACAAACTTACAATATCATCTAAATATTGCAGTGCAATATATTGCAGTATTGCTACAATATCGTCCAAATATTACAGTGTGATATGTCGCAATGCAGTATTACCGCAATTACGTATTGCAGAAATATGTCTGCGATAAATTTATCGCGGATATTTAATATTGCAGCGATATATATTACTGACATATTACCATGCATTATAGCAAATTTATAATATTACTGTAAGATTACTACAATATTACATGCTGTATGGGTTAACAGTTAGCTAATATTTAGCACGTCTGACTTTAAATCATTTATCAGCATTATTATCTTATAATAACGTTAACAGAATAACATTATATTACAGTATCAGGGCGAGGGGTGCGTTGATACTGTATTATAATGTTAACAATGCATTAACAATGAAGACACGGCGATAACCCGCAAATCTTCTGGTATAATTATAATACTTTATCATTTACATCCTCTCATGTAAAGATTCAATACCCATGGTCCAAATTACCGGTGTATCTGTATTCACAGTCACTTTGGAATTTTCGTAAGTATTTGAAGTACTTATCAAGCCACCAAACTGCATAGTTGACTTATCTAAAACATAAGAAAAAAAAATGAAATCAGAATCCAGAAAAGTTATTCAAATGTAACAAATTAAATGTTTAAGTAATGCGGTAAAATGGTTTACTTCAAGATAGAATAAATCAGATATAAAACATACTTAAATTCCATTTTAAACCAGTTGTTGATATACAATTGACGGTACAACCAAACGGTAATAAACCACACCAAGATTTATCTTGTACAAAAATTTCTGGTACATGTATACTATGCATACCAGGTTTTAATAGCCATGTCATAGAGTTGCTTGAGAGTTGTATCACCTGTAAAAACAATCTCAATCAGAATATAGAGACCTAATGTAGACATAGTCATAAGTTTATCTGTCAAACAGAAATCTTACCCGTGTATTTCCCACAATTTTATCAATTTCATATAATGTATTGACATTGGCAATAATATGATCAAACCTGCCTGATGTTTCTGCAAGTACATATAATTCACCTAACTGCCAAAAAATATCATTCATATATTTTATTATATACAATCATCAATTTCAAAGAAACAATAAGAATCTAAAGACATTACATTTATATTGTGCAACTTAGCATAGTGTATGACTTCCATCAGAGCTTTGGTATAATCCGTCTTATCTTGGTCAGGTGTCTCAATAACAGTGGATCCAAAAAATTTAAACTTTTCAATGATAAAGGATGGACAGCTATCCATATCCCCTGTGATAAGAGTTGGTACATACAATTCAAACCTAGGATCCAACGGGTTTTTTATTTCCTGCTTTACATACTTCATCCATTCTTGTGTTCCACCATCCACAGTGACAGTGATTCGAGCTGTTTGCATAAAGTAATGCATAAATTAACAACGTAAATTGATTTACTTGCTTGCAATTTTTTTTCAATCACAAAGGATGCTTTTAATTGGTGACACGAATCAACACAAATATAATTTTATCTTTCTTGGTATTCAGTGAACAAGGGCCTAAACACAAAAATAACGAGTTGTAAAAAACATAAGTCATAGATATAGGTTGACCAAAACATTATATATTGATCTATAACTACGACTCACGTTTCAAAACTCAGTTTCAATCATCTTTGTGCTGAAGCCCTAACAAAGGCGGAACAATATTTGTGTCAAATGAAAAGCATTCAAAGTAAGCGACAGAAAAGCAAAGTATGCATATTTTCAGTGTACAACCTTTTCGCCAGAATGGAAACAGTATGTTGTGCTGCCAGTCTATGGGACGATTCAGCACGATCAACGCGTATTCGCAACGTGCACCGCTCCAGAACGCATCGAATGGATACCATTTGGTGCCACCATCGGACGTCAGCTCCTGCTGCATCGTATAATCTGATGTAACGTGTCCTATCACTGAAAAGCATCGAGTAATAAAAAGATCAAGATTAAGACACAGGTAATCCCGCAACGTGAGTTTACGTAACATAACACCGGTAGATAATTTTCTCATGCCTTAAAATCTTTTCCACAAACAAAATCAACGACACGACAGAAAAGAAAGAGGTCTGCTGTGTTCAACACTTCAAGTTACTTAACGTTTGCTGCGTCGTCGTTAGTGCTCACATACACTTCGCAGATTCTCACTTTTTCGATCGTCACTTATCTGACGCGTGATTCGTTTGCAAGTTCACACTATTTGAATATTTGAAATTCGAACATATACTTGCAAAATACACCACGTGCATTGTACCGTGCATTGTCGGTGCACCGAGAGAACAGATTCGCGCCTCATTACGTTTGTACATTATTCATTACACGTGATAATCCAGTATCGCTTGTTCATCTTGTTACTTACCACTGTCGAAGTCAGAGATTGCATTTCGCAATTGCGCATTTCTAATAATCTACGAGGCCTCGTAATGCCTGATTTCGCTTTCAAATTAACCATCATAAAACGCGATTGTCTCGAAAATTGCACCGAACTCGAGCTTAATATTTCTATAAACTTCATGTTTATTTCTACAAAATCACTGGAAGTCAGTAAGTCACACCGTGCTAAAGCTATAAGTAGAGAGAAACCTGAGAGAGAACATGACGACCTAAAACCTGTAACCGCAAAATGCTGCCGCGCACTACTGCCCTCTGAAGAAATGGATGTGAACTACATGCAAGATCCACTATTCTGAGGATAACGCATCTACTTTTCAAGACTGATGGTAAGTAGATATTCGCGGTTCGTATAATCGTATTCGCGCAATATAAAATGTGGATCAGAATAAATATTCTTCTCTGCAAATATATGTATGTTTACGTAGCTGTGGCACAGCCACACAGAAAAATAGCAGCAAATGAAAAAACAAGTACATATTCTTCAAGGGCTACTTTTTTGCTAATTTTTTACTCTATTCTCGACTTTTTTTATTCACCGTTTATATCAAAAAATTCGACCCACAGTGTCGCTGTGGCACAGCCACAAAGAAAAATAGCAGCAAATGAAAAATCAAGTATATATTCTTGAAGGGCTATCTTTTTACTAATTTTCTGCTAATTCTCGACTTTTTTTATTCACCGTTTATGCTAAAAAATTCGACCCACAGTGTGGCTGCGCTGACTCGCGTACAAGAGTAAAGTACATTAAAGCGATCAATTGCAGGGATTATTTTGGTCTCAAAATGTTTCTAGAATTATTTGCTCTAAGAATATCCAGAATCCGAAATTTTGCTCATCGTTTACGTCAATAAATTCGATTCACAGTGTGGCTGTGCTGACTCGCGTACAAGAGTAAAGTACATTAAAAAGTGTACACTGAGGGCGACTGTTACCAACGCCGATTAAAAGGAGCCTACAGACCAGGGCCCCGATTCTCTAATCTATCGTAAGAGAAACGTATACGAAAAATTAGGAAAATGCTACGGTACACGTTACATATACTATAGCATTTTCCTATTTTTTCGTATACGTTTCTCTTACGATGGACACACGCACACGTGAGAGGCAAGGGAATTACTCACGTTAAACCAGCACCCCGATGGGATCAGTCACCTGCTACGTCCACGTCGTTGATCCTGGGTGATGCCGAGAGCAGGACACTCACACGCACGTACGCTTAACCACCCACAAGCTCGTTAATCGTGCGTTATGTCGATAAAAGTTGTTGGAAAACGTTGTTTTTGACGAAAAACATTTTGAAGGACGTTTGAAGGTAATAACTGACATTTTTCGAAAAAATGTTTGGTACAAAAGTTTTGTATTTTTTTGCATAGAATCAAAATCTGCAATAAAAAATTCTATGTTCCATTTAAAAAAGTGCATTTCCGATCTGAAACACCTACCTCCGGCCGCAACCGGAAGTTGAAAATATCACCATTCGATAGAGCGCCCTCGAGTTATAAAGAAACCGTTTTTACATATTTAAAATAATCATGTCTTTAGCTTTTAAATGAGTGGTACGGGTGGTCTGAAACACCCTGTATATTTATATTATATCTAAATGAGTAGTATATAAAACGAATTAAAGAAAAGAGAATGCACATAAAGGTCAAATAATACAAACAACATTAAAAGTAAAAAGGGGAATTATTCTTACTTAACTTATTTTATAGAATAAGGATAATGAATATTGAGGCGCAGTAAATGAATAATATCAAGCAACACAATTTAATATTACAGTATATAAGTATAAATTAACACAATAAGAGAACAAGATTATATGTAGATTAAAAGAGTATATAAATGCATATGAATAACGTGAGATAGTAAACTACTATTGAGTAAAATCGAATATTAAATAAAATAGTGCGAATATTAATAAAATGCAAACATAAATAAAATCGAAAGGAAAGGTACTAATTTTATAAGAATATATAATTCAATACGTTTGAATGAATATTATATAAAAGGTGAAGATCATTAATATTTAAACATAAAAGCATAAAGAATATAATTATAGTATGTAATATGATTAAAGTATAATTGATAATAAAATCAAATAAAAGCATAAAGAATATAATTATAGTATGTAATATGATTAAAGTATAATTGGTGAAAATAATTAATAGTTACCCTTTTGTTACAGTGGTTTAATAATCAGAGTTGAATGAGGTAGCGCAAGGAATTATGGCAAGATATTTTTCTTAGTAATTTAGTAAGCTGCCCTGAGACGGCTGTTGCAATGGCGAGTTACGATAAATGAAAAACGTGTGTCTCGTAGGACGATCTAGCAATAACTGCGCGCGACAGCGAGCCGCCGCCTTCGAATCTTGATTAACACAAAGAGAGTAGTACTGCGTGAATCAATTGAGCGTTTAATTTTCTACTTGAACAATAAAGTAAAACATTGTAATTTAAAATTCGCTTCTTAATATTTTTCCTTTCTCTTCTTCATTTTTTGAAAAGTGATATTCTTGATTTGTCGTTTATTCGATACGAATTGCATACGTTAATATTTTATTTATGTATATATTTATTACGCTCAACTCATCTTTAGCAATAATCTTTTCGTACTCATATTATATATTTAACTACTATGCATATATAACTATGGCAAGCCACAATATTTGTATATATATATATATATATATATA